TGCCCAAATATTATACTTCCATCCTCCTTTATTAATTGTACTATTAGCATTTCTAACAATTACCCTAGGTTTGTCATTCTTCATAAGTTTTAACTTGAGGGCTTTAACTATTTTTAGTAATAAAGTGTTTAATCCTGTACCTGAGTCAAACATAGTCTTAATTGTTACTTACTGTCCTCTGTATAATATAATTGCTTTACAGGTAGAATAGAGTACTACTTGTACTGTCTAGTAGATTTTTGTTGGTTACTTTTCTTATAGAGTTTCTTTTACCTTTTTCTCTACACCTGAGTTTAAAGACTCTACTACCTTTAAACTCTGGATCAAAAATCCTCTCTACTTGATCCTTCTGTTTCCTCCTCTTTCTTAATGTAAGCTTCCTGTTCTTCAGGGATTACTGTGTTCCTTTTTGTGAACTTTCTGTTAGATTTATACTTTGGCCTTTTCTCTTAAGGATTTCTTCTAGTACAATTTCTGGTCATATGTCCTTTCTGCCTACATTGTATACTATTTCCCTACTTTTTGTTATCCTGTCAATTTCTATTAGTACTCTATAATAATTACTAGGAGGTTTGTATTCTTGTCTAAATGTTTTTGTGTGTACTATTTCTCTCTCTAGACTAAGAGCTGTGTCTGTCCATTTCTTGAATGTCTATTCTGTATAACTAGGGATAGTAACCAACTGTTGTAATTTGCTAGAGTTTAATCCATTTTTGTATAAATGAATTGTGACAGGATTGTTTCTAAGTGCTCCTAGTTTATACTCCTTAGGTAGGTAGGCTAATATTCTCTTGAATGTTTTATTGTATTCTATAATTGTTAGTTTTCCTTGTCTCAAATTGTGTATTTGAGTTTAAGCTGTCTCTATAGAATTATAGTATTTTCTACTTACTTCTCTTAGATCAGTTAAAAATGTTTCATAGTCTTTCCAGATTTCTGGAACTAAGCTTTTTCCTTCTGTCACAAATAATATAGTCTTTCTATTTATGTAACTTACTATTTTCCCTCTTAAGTATAAAATTACTGTTTCTACTTTATCCAAATCATTTGTAATGTTGTAATGTCCGAAGTGTATTGCTAGATTTGTTTTAAACACTTTTAAATCTTCCCCTTTCTGTCCTAAAAACTTTAGTAGTTTAAGATTAATTTTCCTTGTTCCCTCCATATTACTCTCTTTCTAGTTACTAGATTCTGAATTTAGTGTATAAGAGTCTGATAAACTTGACTCTAAACTGGTACTACTTTAATAGGCCTAGTACAACCAATTATAATAATCCTGTGTTAGTATTCCTTCTACTATAAAGGTATCTAGTAACATAGACTGTTTAATTTCTTTAACTATCTAGCCTTTCTGAGTAATAACTTCTGACTGACCTTAGAGGCTTCTAGGGGATCCTAGTAGACTATCTGGATGTTGTGTTTCAATTCTACTATACTCTTGAAATGTTTGGATTCCTCTCTGTATTGTGTTAACAAGCTCTTCTTCTTCAGCTAAAGAACCTAATAGTTCACTTTCTTGATTTTCTTAGATTGTGTCTTTCTAAGTAAAATGTTCTTGTCTCTAAGAGTATTGAGTATTAGAAGTACTTCCTTCTCTCCTATCACTTTATTGTTCCTCTCTACTAATATTTTGTAATATAGTAGTTAGGTTGAATTGTGACTATACTAACCTATTTAGGAATACTTGTACTATTCCTGATTCAACTAGTACTTCTTGTACTCTGTTAGTAAGGTTCTGTATTTTGTCCAAGATTTCCTGTAACTTTGTATAAATATTAAAAATATTCAAACTCTGTGTATCCAAATCTGATTGTATCCCTTCCAGCTTTTCTCCTTGTTGTTCTACTTATATAAGACTAGACAAGTATGTAATTTCCTCTTGTATAGTCCTATAATGTAAGTCTTAACTTTGATTAGACTTAATTATTCTGTTAAGACCTAAGAATTGTTATATTCAAGCCTTTGTCCTTGTAACTCAAAGACTATAATAAGTCCCTAATTTGTTTGAATAGGAGTAGCTAGAGTATGAACTTGTTCTCTGAGCCAATCTTGTACTGTTCCCTAATTGACTCTTCCTCCTACTCTAAGAATATATAGTAAAGAGTGTTCCTACAAGTAGTAGGAATATAAGAATAGTTAAGAGATTTGATAATAAAGGACTGTATAATAATAGGCTTCTGCCTGTGTCTAGTACTAATTGTTGTATGTATAGTGTTCTAGTCCTTTCCTTAATCTAATACAAAGCCACTTTTATAGCTTGTTAACCTTGTTTAGTATTATATTATAAAAGTTACTTACTTTTACAATATCTGGATATTCTTGTTCTAGTGTAAGTAATGTACTGTGTAACAAATTACAATGTTGTTATAATGTGTATAAGTAGCTTGAGTATCCTTGGATTTGTTCAATCCAAATTTGTTGATTGATAGAAGTGCCTATTATATAAGTAACAGTTAATACTACTCTTCCTTACTTGAAAGAGTCTAAGAGAATTTCCCCCTGTATCCAAAATAGTATTCCTTTAATACCTCCTAGTATTAACACTTGTTCCTGTGTGTAAGCTACTAAGTAATTAAGAACTAGTAGCACTTTTTAATTAATCTTTCTTTTCTTACTATAAAAGAAAGTTACTTATCTTAACAACTGTTCTAAGTAGTAGAGTAACTTGTCTACCTACTTTGAATACTAATTATTAAGGTTAGTTAATATTATAAAGTAAGTATTAGAGTTTATATACTTGTGTACTAGCTCTAGGTTTGAGTTCCTCTTAGTAGACTAGAGCTTTACTAGAATAGTAAAGATTTGTAACTAAGTTGGAATTTTATTAAAGTGTAAGATATACTTACTTTACTAGTCCTAATTCTTAGGAATAGTAACAGAATAGAGTATAGAGAGTAAGACTTGTAGACTTGTAAACTTGTAGACTTGTAGAGTGAGAGAGTAGAGGAGTCCTACTTTAGTCAAGCTATAAGTGTAGACTAGTAGATTAGTAGTAGAGTACTTCTAAGTACTAAGTAACTTAAGTTAATAAAACTATCTTTTGAGGGCCAAACTAGCCTCCTTATATACCTTTTACTAGAGTAATGTTACTCTAGTAACTTTAGTAACTCTCTTTACTGTTGTTCTTATAAAGTAGAGCTGGCTAATTCTTTAGACTGTATACTACACTAGTTTGTATCTTCTATTAATCTTCTAACACTAGTTTGTGTCTTCTTGTATTTTAGATTAATCTTCTAATGACTCCTTTACTGTATTGTTATATCTTCTATATTTCCTCTTATATTTCTAATAACTTCTTATGAGTTCTTCTGACTAGTTATACTGTGTAAGCTGTATAATACTTTTCTCATAAAGTAGAGCTTTCTATTATTCTATAGTCTTCTTATAACTCTGTCTGACTTGACCTGTACTTTCTATATACTAGTTTGTAATACACTTTCTTATAAGGTAGAGTATTATAACTTCTAATGACTCCTTATAACTTCTGTAATATAAAAGGCTGTACTTCTGTACTGTCTCTAGAACTTACAACCAAAGTTCTAGACTATCTTATGTATACTCTAGAACTGACAACTAATATTCTAGATCTTTTCCTAAGTCTTCTTTAATAGACTTAGTTTAGGAGACAATTATCCTTATTAACTTCTAGCCTTATCTTTATACTTCTGTATTCAATCATAGAACTTACAACTAAAGTTCTAGATTGTCTTGTGTATTCCTCATATTGTCCTCATATAGTCCTTATGTTTATGACTTCATTACTTTCCTATCTATATAGACAAAGTGTATATAAGAGACTACTTTCCTATAGCCTCTCCTTAGAGCTCTCAGTTCCTTTCCTTTACACTAGTACTAGTTCTCCTCAAGTATAGAGCTTTAGAGTACTAGCTCTAGCTCTTTACTAGCTTTAATAGTCTTTTGTCTTTGTACAAAGAGTTTCTAACTAACTATAGTTTCTCTTATAAGTAAGTATAATATTTTCCTTTATCTCTTTAGGTTTTCTCCTAGTCTTTCTCTACCATTCTCCTTACTTTAGACACTATACTCTTTCTAGATCCTCTCTCTATACAAGCATTCTAAATGACTTGTCTTTGGTTGAGATTATTAAGTAATATAGTGTTAGAGTATGTGTTTGACCTTAGAGAGATAAAGACCTTGTTTACAGGTTTTGTTACCTTTTCCTAACTGACTTAGTACTTACTCCTTCCTGTCCCCTCTCTCTACTAATGGATTGATTACTCATTAGTAATAATTAGAGGTTTATAATACTGAGCTGGAGTTCTTACTAAGTAGGACAACAAAGGTAGTCTAGAGATCTGGCCAATCTTTAGACTTGTAACTAATAGAGTTTTGTTTATAAACTACTTGGTTCCAAGTCTTAAGTTAGGCTTTCTAAACTTAGTTACTGTATTTTACAATTCCTAAGAGACCTTAGAATGAACAAAGAATGAAAGGGTGGACAAAGGAAAGGAGTAACAAGGTAGAGAGGGGTAGTAGTAGGAGTCACTGTAGGAGTCAACCTGTATTTAGTCTATATACTGTACACCTGAGAGACAGAAGTCCTGAGTTTCAGGACAGAAGGGTACAGAACTGGCAGAACTGAGGGTGTAAGAGTAGCAAACCATAACAATATGTACACTATTATGATTGCCCTGCTCTAGAAATAAGCTAGCAAAATAGCTCAACAGCTATTAGGTATTCAAATACTATTATATATGTACTCACTAATATGTATACTCATCTTTCATATCTTTTTTTATTTTATCATTCTACCCTATCTAATTTTTGCAAATATTAAAATGCAAGACAAATATTATTTCTAATGATTTTATCAAACATTCTCTTATCTTCCTAACTATATTAACTTCTTTGCAGATACAAGAGACCTTAGCAGAGAATGTCATTACTAGCTTTCTAGTACCTTATAAATAAGGTCATATCTATAATTACAGTTTCAAATGTCTGTTACATGTTCTTTCAAAGCAGTCCTACTAATACTATTACTTTAGGTACTTTAAAGTAAGTGCTTCATCTACAATTGTACTTATTGACTTAAGGAGTGTCAAAATTTCTGATGATTCATCCTCAGAGAGTGTGATAAGGTTTTGTATTTTTGTATCAATCACGTTTTCTGCTTTCTCTATAAGTTCTAGTTGGCTTGTCATGGCATTAATAAAGTTTGAGACAACTGTAGGGTGAACAGTGGCTTGTGTCTTGTCTTCTGAATGCTCTGATTCAGCCTTCGGATTTTCTGGCTTAGCTGTCAGCTTCTCTAATACCTCATTCAGACGATCAACAAGGCCTTTGACTTTCTCGTGTACACGTTTCACCTCGGCAAGGACGTCTACGTCACTCCGAGCTTCTACTCGCTGGACCGGTCCCTTCTGATTTAATTTGTTTACTGCACTATGAACCTTTTCCCAGAATTGTGCCATTTTGTCATCAGTGCTAGCATGAGCTGTAGAAGATGTGCTGGGTGCAGCATTGCTGGACGTCGACATTGTCTTTTCAGGGGATCGTTTAACTGATCTGGAGTGATGACTACGGCTTGTACGATGATGAAGAACTCCGGACTTTGACGGCCTGGAGCGCATGCTTGCCATATCTTCTATCAGTCAGAGGATTTCTCAATTGCAAATGTAGCTGCACACCAACATCATCACAAGATCTGGCTTAAATATCATCCCGGGGGCAGGCTCTCACAGTACAACTTTGCAAGCACATGCAATCATTTATCTAGTGCATTATTGTTGCTGAGTAATTCAGCCAAGCAGAGAAATCATAAGTAACTTGGCAGTCTTTAGAAACTGATTGACAAACTCTCATATGCGCACCATTACGATGGTCCTGCTCTGGCAATAGGCCAGAAAAGTAGCTCAATGGAACTGAATATCCGAATTGAACAAAGACTCATATGGGCTTGTTAACTGTTCCAGTGACTCATCACCATCAATGCCACATCTATGCGTCGTTTGCTCCAATTAATGTCCTTCCTTTCTTGACAAGGTGCATATTCACATTGCGAAGTAATATTATCAACTTGCTTCATATGGCAGGCATTGCAAACAACATGTGGCGAACCGTTTGTTACTTGGTTGGCAAGAGCCGAGTGGCACTTGTAACTTGTCTAAGGTATGGAACTTATTAAGCAAAACGATTGAACACTGAATTGAGTTGTCCTAGATATAACTTATACGTTTCCAACTTAGTTCATGTGTAAAGAGGAGCACAACAGTTACCAATGACTGACTTTTGTATGATACGATACGTCAATAAATACGTATTTTGGCGGATGAGCTGGAAATGCAATCTCGTCAACAAGAGCAGGAAAGATTATATGCAATGGAGGCAAGCAGTTTTCACAGTGAGAAAAAGATTAGCACGTTGAGTATACAGGACGCCGCAGAGAATGTTTGGATAGAAAAAAAATCTAACGGTCAAATGGTGCTACGGAAATGGATCTAGACAACTTGTTCTGTAACACCTTTCAATATCGCTGAAAAAATCAACAGAAGCAGTTTGTCTTGACAGTTTGAAAAAAATTTCAGTACTTGGGTTTGAATGGAAAGGCAAAGATTTAGACTTACAATTCAACAAAGTTTCGACCTGAAACCAGTAAAGATGTTTCACGTACGAATCTGCGAGGCATTAATGCCATCTGTTTTACCAGGTACAACGTCTTCGATGAACTTCACAAATTGCATCTTCCTAGTTTTCTCCAAGTCCTCATAGAATCGATCTACAGGCTCGCCCTTTGCATGACGCGGTGTCGCCATTGTACCCGTCTCTGGATTATACACAATCCAATCAAGCTTGTTCTGATAAACGGTACCGATAAGCCCATTAGAGAACTTGGTTATCTTGACGCATTTGAATAGGATGACATCGCCTTCGGAAGGGCCAGGCAGCTCGCGACCCAGACGAGACTTAGAAGTGAAGCAAGTAAGTTTGAACCCTCGGCCGGAGGTGTAGCTGTATGCGTCCGCGAGCGTCATGGTAACACAGAGATCTGACAGAGATATCCATGTAAGTAAATGCAACGGGATAAAGTATACTATACTATGAGTATGAATAGAAGACATACCACCGCTGACAGCTGTGGTCGGCGGCCTAACAATTTCAACAATGCCGACAACGGGTGTTGTCATTCCTTCGGTGAGTGTAGTGAGAGGAGGGCAAACATCGAACTAAATTATGGCATAAGTCAAGCTGAAGCTCGAAGTGGAGGTTTATTAAGTTAAAATACATGATCAACGTCATCCAAAGAAACTTCGTTTGCAGCCGTAGGGCTTGGTGAGTATGACCGTTCTTGGTCGTATGCTGCAGGCGTTGGATACGGCACACTCTTCGTAGTTCTGGGCGGTGTCATTGGGGCAGGGACTCCAGTCATGAATTCCTTGCAGTAACACCCTCCAAAGTGTTGTTGACCTATCGTTCATTTACACGTCATATATGTGAATAGGGGCTTGAGTGCATAAGTGGACGACGTACTTTGTCTGGTATTGATGACGATGCCATCTGGAATGCACACTCCACCACGAACCACTTGCATTACCATATCGCTGCTGAATATCAAAGAGAACGGCAACAAGGGCCCTCCACGTGAAACGAGTTCAGGAACAAGACGCGCATATTTCAGCGAGATTTTAATATGCTGATCAATAGTGAAGACAAAACGCGAAAGCTGGGAGCAGGTTATAAAGATTCGGATGGCTTCATCATGCTGCTTGTTGGACTCTGGCAGTCGTGCCAGTAGGATTTCAACCTCTTTCTGCGTACTGCGGGTCTCGTGCACTCGTCCCTCAATCCAGCCAATTTCAGTTTCATTGTCGTCCTTATAGTTTGCCGACGTGATAGCGAGCGTTACCTCAATTTCCGACCATGCTTTAGCAAATGACGGATCGTCGAAAAAGGCGATCGGTGATGCTTGCTTTGCTTTCATTGTCAAGTTCGCGATGGTGGATGGGGGTTAACAGACGAAGATATCTGCATAGGGGCGTTCTTCATCGCGGTTTTCATGGAAGCCGCAGCGCCAGCACAGGTACGTCATCAACGCGCGCTTTCACTCTTTACTTCGTACCACTACCCTCTCTGCTTCGAACTTGGTCACCCTGTATGTGGATACGTAGCCACAGCGCGTCATCAGCAATTCGATACGCCACCACGAAATTAATATTGGTCAAGCGTCGATATATGTACTTTCTGGGCGGCAGGACTGACAGGTACAAGCGAATCGTCTAGTCTATTTAGTGTGCCGCTGGCCAACAAGCGCCTTGCCTCTCTTTGTTCTGGCATGAAACGCAAATTGGGAAGACTCCATTTCACTGATAGGTGATCTTTCAAGATAACTACACTAGAGGGCAAACCTTTCCGAAAGGTGTCTAATAGGCCTACTGGAGAAACGACTATTTGGCTCAATAGACCGCCGAGTGGATCGACGGCTGATTACTGCATGTTCCTGGAGATTTATGATTTATTCGAGCACGATGACATGTCGGTTCGTCACCTTTGGCTGAGCATACCCGCTGGACAAACTCAACACGCTAGGCGCGGTAATTTAGACTGCCTCGTCTTACTTACAAAGCAGACTGATCGTATAACTCAGCTAGATTCCAGATGACATCCGTATATGGAACCTTCAAGAGGAAGACACAGATATTAGCTTCCGAAATTGGAATTTTAGGTGGCAATATTAACAGAACTCGTGAGCCTTGTTCTTCTCGTTCATGTGGTCTTGCAGAAGGAGTGTCTGGGCTTCTGAGCTGAAGTGTCCGCATGATTCGCGCGTCGTTATCCGCTCTGCATCACCGACCAGAATTGATTCGAAAAAATCGAGAATATTCAAAATCTGATGCGGCGCGGGTGCAATGGTCGACTAGGTGCTCAAAGTTCGTGAATTTCAATCCAGGCTGACTTGATTGATGTAGCAAAATGCCTAAGAAAATCAAGACTTTCTTGTGAATCGTCATATTGGATATCGACTGATGGGGATCCATTACGACTTAGACCCTAAAATGCAACAAACATTCCTAATTCTGATGAATGGGCGAGCCCGTTTCCACTTTGCTTACGTACGAAAGTACTAAACACCATGATGCAAGCTTCTTTTCTTCCATGGACAGCATGGCCTCAAACTCTTGCACTCTCTAACTCATAGAAATATGAGCGAGGCGCCTAGTATGACATTTCCCTCCCACCAACTCTCTGTTATTCGCGAGACGCAGCAGTTGACCTGAAATTTTGCAACCGCTGGCCGGAATCGGCTGCGGTCGTCGTGCGAATAAAGTGGGTAACTGCAAACACGAGTCGTGGAATTCCGAGACGCGTTCAAGCGATTGCCCTCGAAGGTAAGCGGAACCGGCACGGCGACATCGCACGAACCCCGCCAGATCAAGATCGGGCGGTAGAATCAGACCAAGTTGTCAGGGTTCCAGGCAAAATATAAACTGCACCTCAAATTCTTCTCCCGGTTTTCGTTTCTTCTCGTCTCGCTTTCGCCATGATGGTGGACAACACACTGCTCGAGGCTGCTATCTGCGGCGACGAAGAGACGTTCTGTCGGCTAATTCGTGGAGGCGAGGACGCGAATGCCGTCATTGGGGCGCTCGTCCTCGGTGCGGCAAGGTTTGTTTGAAATTTCAGTGATAATTGTCGCGTGCATTGACGCGTCGTGCATTGCAGTCTCGATGAACTAGACACGTCGCACGCTCAAGCCAGTGTTCCTGGTCGTCTGGCAATTCTATATTTCCTACTTGAAACACACGCTCTTTCCTTGTACGTGCTAAATGCGGCTCATACCTCTCTGAAGGGTTTGACGCCCCTGGGTATGGCGGCGTATCTTAATCGATTGGACTTCGTTACACTTCTGTTGGAGAAAGGTGACGGTCTTGTACTCATAGATGCGGTGGACAGCCAAAGGGCTACTCCAATCATGTGTGCGTCTAGAAGTAAACTAACTATCCACGGAAGGACAGCAAGACTGATGTGTTTTTGCAGACGCTGCTCGTGATGGCCATACCGAAATTGTGCAATACCTTGTGAGTCTCTCCGTTATCACGAACGTCTTCAGGGGAGCTCACCCCTATTTCGTTTGGTCGCTCAGATCCGTCATGGAGCGCGAATAAGTGCTACGGATTGCTATCATCGTTCCGTTTTATTCTGTTCTATAGCCTCTCCACAGTGTCTATGGTTGTGCGAGTCAAATATCCGGCTTGAGAGAGCGCAGTCTTTATTAGTGAGTCCCTAAACATGCCTGAAGATAAACTGCTGACAGCAGTGTTCGTTATTAGTCCCATAAAACAAAGCGGCACTTGAAGCTCACGTTACAGCTCGACGCCAGCGAATATATCTCCCTTGCATGCATGTACCAACAACATGATAGTCGACCATTGGCTCTCGATATCGATTCCCAAGTTATACACCTGGTTACTGCCGTTGCTTCTTCCGATCCTTCAGCTGTACACTCCTTACTCTTTCCTTCATATTACTCTCAGGAGCCGTATATACCAATTCCAGCTCCTGTAAACCTCCCTGACGAGAACGGGTGGTCGCCAATACACTACTGTGTCGTAGCGCCGCGGCCGAGCACAGCTGTGCTTGACGCACTATATTTGGCTGGCGCGGACCTCACGCTTTATACGGTTGACAATACGATGACACCGTTGCATGCTCTTGCTCGGTTCGGTGGTGCCATAAGTAGTGGCTCATCTCGTCTGTATGCGTTCATTATACATCTCGTACGTGACCTCGGAGCCCGGCTCGATGCTATCGACCTGAATGGCGAGACATGTATTCATCTTACCGCACGTTATGGTCGTTGCTCGGATGTCCTTATGGCGTTCCTGGAGTGCGACCCCGACGGGACAACAGTTAAGATAAAGAACAATGACGGGTAAGAGAAGATTAAAACATCTTGCTAAAAGATAATGCCCTTACAAATGCGATAGGAAAACCGCATATGAGGTAGCGAAGCCCGAGTTTCGATCAATTTTCGAGCGGGACAGTGATTTGCTGCGTCCTGATTCGGCTGCATCCTCGAGGACCGTTAGACCATCCGATTCAAGTTCTTTACTGGCAATGAGCCGGTCGACCGATTCATCAAGTTCTCCAGATTCGGACGAGGAACACATGCCAGAAGAACAGTTCCCTTTCATTATTTCACGCGAAAAGGAGAACTTACGACGCACGGTTATGAATCCCATTGGCGCGCGACAACTCCTTGATGATCTGGACTGCCTTTCTGAGCAACTGCAGGTAATGCAGATGCGAGAAACAGGCAGAACGGCCAAATTGAAGGAACGTGTTGACGTTGCCGAGCTAGACGAACTTCTGCATTGCAGCCGTCAAAATGGTTCAGAACTTCTGGAGCGCTTCCGACAGCTCATCGATGCGGAAATTGATGATTTACATGCTGCACAGGATGTCCATACTTCTTTGCAGCTGCTTATTTCGCGCCTGGAGCAGAGGATATACGAGGACGAGGAAGGAAGGCGTGCAGCGACCCCGTCATTGGCGTCGGTTCGAAGGTCATCTGGAACACCCTCTCTCACCATGTCAGGTTCATCATCGGCCGTTTCTTTGACTTCACTTGCGGATCTCGCTGCGCTTGTCACTCCTACAGGTTCTCCTCGTGCTAATGCACATGATCTGTCGACACCAAAGGCAGAAGCTGTGCAACGGAAAAGTATTACTGAGGAGTCGGAGATCGACTTTGCGTGTGCGCTTTCGACGGGGAATAATCCACGCATTAGGCGTTTGTCGACAATCTTTTCCGTGGCCCCGAATACGTCCTCGCACATCGAAGTAAACTCGCCGTTAGAGGCCGGCGTTAACCTTGTCTCTATTCCTCCTGTACGCGCTCCTGAAGTACGAGACGCTGGTTCGCAGCTACAGACATTGGGATCCTGTGGGTATGAATCATGGCTTGACCCGTACGTGCGACGTGCGAACTCGGATATCTTAAAAGCGCATCTCGCAAATCTTCTGGAGATTGAACAGATGTTATTTGGAAAGGAAGACAGGGAACGAGAGGAGGTGCCCAGCCCTGGATCTGTAGGAGGTGAAGATGACAACGCGTGCTGGAGGGAAGGCGTTGAAGGCGTCGAGACCTTGCAAGAGGAGGATGGAAATTTCTTGGAGATGTTTGATGGTGATGAGGAAGGGCTGGGTGGAGTGGAAAGGAAGGGAAATATGCACGATGATGCTGACGAGTTCTTGGACCTGTTTAGCTCTCATGAAAGCAACGACTCGGATGTCGAGTATACTCCAACGTTTAGGGCAACGCAAGAAGCCAAAACTTGTTCGGACGCGAGTTCTTACTCTGCTTTAGACATTCTGGAGATCGCCAGGCACGAACTTTCCACAGTGGAAGAGGCTATGTTTACTGTAAGTGGATCATTTCTTCCATTTGTATGACAAGTCTTCATGTCTCGTCTTAATGCAGGCTTGTCGTTCAATCGAATCTGCCCAGCGATATATTAGCCAAGCGGAATGCCTCACGAGTAACATATTCCAGAAGATGGAGCATACGGCACAGGCAACGCGTCTTGCGAATGCTCTGAATGATCTTTGCATCGATGAGATCACCACGGACTATAGTCGAGAGCGAGGTGGAATGCCAAGCAATATAAGCCACGCGCACACTCCTACGACCTCGCCAGTCTTACAGCGTAGGCCAGCTTTCTCCAACATGAATTCAAACACTTTTACAGACTCGCGTGCATTCCCTCTTCCTCCACCTCCGTCTCGCTACCTTCGAGAGAGTGATCGTAAACCATCGGTGCAATCACTCATGTTGATGGCTTCACCCTTTCCTACTCCAGATACACCTGACGATGAGATACTCGCCCTCCGCCGAGTTCTAGTGCGCAAGATTCCTCTCTGGCTGGATGCAACGGCGTACGACGTGGATAAGGCCGGATCGTGGGTCGGAATTGTCCAGGCCATCGTGCATAACATCCAACGTAATCGGCTATGATTTATTTGCCAGGCAACCGGCTGCCACTCTGCTTGCCAACTGCTTCCGTACCTTTCGTTTCGGATTTCTCGTTTCCGGCATCTTCCTTCGTGTTCCGCATGGTTTTTCCCGGATCTTCATTTGCCCCCTGTATCTTTGGAAACTTGCAATTTGTATCTCATAACGTACATATGTCTTACAACTTGGCGCTTTGTCATTCCTTCTCATGCTCTCATATTCGCTTTAGCGTTGTCCAGTCGCTCGTTTTTTTTATTACTTTCAACGTTATTGGATCGATGCATAGTAAAACAAAGTAGTTTATTTGCCATGTAATTGTTCTTGGAAAAGTACTCATTCTGCTAGTACATTAGTGTACTACTAATTATCTATCGCATTAGACAGATGGGACACGCTTTTGCAGTATGTTGTTGATTGTTGTAGGGGTATTAGCTAGCTAGAAAGGACATGTTCTGCATTTGATTTTTGTCTGGGTGTGATGACGTGGAACGCCATGCTCTGTGTTGGTTGGGTAATGCAGTGATCGGCAATTCATGTGTGCGTCACGGGAACTCACAATCACATGCCAAGTGATGCTCCTCTCTGGATCTTGACCTGAAGACTGTGATAAATAGACAGGCCAATCGGACACCCGGCATATCTTATTCTTAACCTTCATCTTCACCGCACTCTGTCTCTCTTAAACATTTAGAAAGCGACTGAGCAGTCTCATCGACTCGACATCTTTGCAACGCAATGGCATCTACTGAGCTCAAGACGTTCACCCGTGAGGAGGTCGAGAAGGTATGTTCTTCTTGTCGTCTCGATAAATGCCTCGTGCCTGACTGGACGTGCGTTGGGATAGCACAACACACCGGATGATTTGGTATGTTCCTTGTATGGGTGTAGACGTGACGCTGATTACTTTGTTTTGTGGCACTAGTGGGTCATCATCGACTCGAAGGTGTACAATCTCTCGAGGTTCAAAGACTTACATCCAGGTGGTATCTCCGTCTTACTGGACCCAGAAATTGGTGCGTGTCGCTTTTACTGTCCCACCTTGCGGCATCTTAAACGTGCACTGATACCGTGCTCTTCATTTTCCTAACCATTGATCAGCCGGACAAGACGCAACAGAAGCGTTCTTCGGGCTTCATCGCCACGAGGTGCTTCTGCGGCCGCAATATAAGCGATTGCAGGTTGGTGTTATTGGAGGTGAGGAAGAGCAAATCACGCCGCCCGTCGCTGGTGCGCTCAGCAAGGTTCCGTATGCGGAGCCTGCGTGGTTGAGTGAGGGCTTTCATAGTCCGTATTACAAGAAGGTGCGTCAGTTCTTGATAGATTTTGGGGAGTAAATCTGACTTGACGATGCTTCATGGCAGTCGCATCGTGAGCTGCAAAAGGCGATGCGGACGTTCGTTGATGAGATCATCTTTGAGGATGGACAGGTGCATTGACAGAAATTCATTGTTAAATACCTATCCAACGTGTCTTACTCCTTTACACTTTTCCCTTTCATTTAGGCTCGGGAAGCCGATGGCAAACGACCTAGCCAGCATGTAATTGACAAAATGGCGTACGTTGTTTCACCTTACGTAACTGCTCGATGATTGATGTTTTACTTTAGGGAGGTGGAGCTCCACGCAATGCGAATGGGACCTGGGAAGCATCTGAAGGGTCGCACATTATTCGGCGGCGTTGTAAACCCAGAGGAGGTAGGAATCTACAATTATCAACCATACAGGGTTTTGATTGAATTTTTGTGATCGTAGTTTGATTATTTCCATGAGGTATTTTTAATTTCATTTACTTGTTCAATCTTGTTATCTAATATCCTTATTTAGCTTATTATCACCCAAGAACTTGTACGAGTTGGTGCACGAGGATATGGAGATGGTGAGTTCTGGGCTTGCCATGTTGTTATCGCGTTTTGTGCTTATGCTTTCGATTAAGGTCTTTTGGGAGGCAAAGTCATTGGCTTGCCGCCGGTACTCAACTTCGGATCTCCTGAGCTGAAGGCCAAGGTCATTCCAGAAGTATTATCTGGAAAGAAGTTCATCTGCCTCGCTATTTCGGAGGCTCATGCAGGAAGCGATGTTTTTGGGCTGCATACTACGGCAACGAAGTCTGAAGATGGGAAGTTCTGGATTGTGAATGGAAATAAGAAGTGGATTACAAACGGAGTGTAAGTCTGGTATTGAAGCTTCCGATGAGCTGCTTCTGACCTCTTTATTTGTCAGGTTTGCGGACTAGTGAGTTCTATTAGAAAAGCAAAAACTACCATAGTTGCTAATGCATTGCCCCAGCTTCACAACCGGATGTAAAACAGACGTGAGTCGATTTGGTAATTCCTGTACCATTTATGATCCTCACCTTTGTCTGTGTCCTTCAGAACGGTTTCACTGTCCTTCTCATTCCACGAACTGAAGGCGTTGAGACGAAGCAAATCAAAACGAGCTATTCGTCTACAGCGGGGACGGCGTACATCACATTTGACAACGTCAAGGTTCCCGTAGAGAACACGCTAGGTGAAGAGGGTGCAGGAATCTATGTCATGCTCAGCAACTTCAACCACGAACGTTGGGTGATGTGTTGTAGTTCTGCTCGTAGCCAGCGACTTATTATCGAGGAGTGTCTCAAGTACGTTACTATACTTCCTTGATTTGGCCTCTGTCTTTTAACTAAACATTTTTTCGCAGATGGGCAACTCAGCGCAAGGTATTCGGCAAACCGCTCATTAGCCAAGCTGTCGTCCGAGCAAAGATTGCTGGCATGATCTCGCGTGCGGAGGCTATCCAGGCATGGTTAGAGAATGTAACTTACCAAATGTGCAACATGGCGTATAAAGAGCAAGCGCAGAAGCTCGCTGGGTAAGTCTCATTGGACAATACTTTCCACGTGGTGGATGATGCTTACTGAGGCTATTTCTTGTTCCGTGTTAATGTAGACAAATCGCGTTCTTGAAATCGTTTAGTACACGCTCCGCACAGGAGACCGCACAAGATGCCGTTCAGGTCTTCGGAGGGCGAGGGATTACGCAGACTGGGATGGGCAGGTTCATAGAACACGTAAGTTTACTTCGTTTCCCTCTGTAATCGTAATTGGATTTACTCTGTTATGACAGTACTACCGCACCGTTCCATTCGACGCACTACTTGGTGGTGCAGAGGATGTACTTGGTGACCTTGGTGTTCGCCAAGCAATCCGTGCCATGCCCAAGGACGCGAAGCTATAGTCGAAGAAACATGTCTTACAATTGCAGACTAGCATATTCTTCGAGCTAAGAGCTGAGGAGCAGGTAATCGTATCTGTATTTTTGGATTGGTATTGTTGGCACGAACACGAACATGAGGTAGAGTTTTCGTACCTTACCTTACAGTACTTTTGTGTTTTTATTATTACGTACATATACAAAATAGCTTAAAATGAATTCTGTGTACAACTTTGGAGGACAATCGCCTGTTCTTGCAGTAGGGGAAGGTGAGAGTGAATTATGCTGTCCAATTTATAGCGCGTAATTTGCTGGACTGGATCAGTGGTTGCTAAGGATTTATGCCACCTTCATCATAAATGGAATTTGGAGGTTTGAGATAACCTGTTCTTTTGCAATCATATTGTTATCTGTGTCAGTTATACAAGTAGCCAAGTTCGTGGGTTTGCTCTTAAATTGAATTTTTCTATATGACGAAGATAATTCATGCGTTCTTGTGTGATCAGGCATCTGGCACCAGAGCTTTTCTCAATTTTATTTTGTTTATCCAGTATGAACGCCGAGACTATAATGGATCTCGTTGTTGGTCTCTACAATATCCAAGTTTATAATGTGGTATCCTTAAGATTAAAAAAGACAAAACATTTTCTTTCCGGCAAAGTCTGGTCCTTACGCCACGTGATACCAAATTATAATGCGTGAATCACGACGACAGACCAGTTCTTCTGGATGGACTTAAGTACATACCAAATCGCTCAAGTCCACAACGCGTACTAATTATTCCCACTGATGTATAGCGTTCCAACTCTCACCCGAAGACATTACGTTCTAAACATTGATTACGCGTTACAGGATAAACCAATCGACAATGACATAGGAGGCATCCCCATGTTGAAAACGTGAATATTCTTCAAAGTCATCCTGTCGTGCCAAACATGTACGTAAAAATTTTCGAGAAAGAGGTAGGGAACCAAAATAGGAAGCTCAAATTCTGCTCAGCAGTGCCACTGCGAAGGGTATCGCCAAAGTTATTCCAGGGATGCTATATCTTAGGGAACTCGCGCTGGGTAATCCACCGAGGCCGGGAATCGGAACGTCTCCAGACGAAGGCAAATCGCCTCCTGAGGCTTCAGTGGGCTCGGGAAAAGTGGCAGTTGTTATTGCCGAACGGGTCGTTGTCCGACTTGACGCCGTTACTGTACTTTGTGGCAAGCTTCCAGGAGTAGCACCAGCTGTGCTCACGATAATCCCGGTATAGCTTAGATCTTGAGTAGTAGTTTCAACTCCTACACCGAGACGCTCTGTGCAGATCATGTCGACGTTGTTAATTCCGCATTGAACTTCGTACGATAACGTGATGGACCCGTCAACAGCATCGCCGCCTTTAGAGATGTGCGTCGCGTCCTGGGCCACCGTTACTGAAAGATAGGTAGTAGCCTCAGTATAGGATTGGAACAGAAGAGACTGAGAATACGTACAGGTATAACCTGTGTCAAAACCATAAAATGTGCCGGAGACGAGGTACGTCGTGCCCTGTGCACCTGTTCCAATTACTAGGCCTTTCGCGCTAGGTTCTTCGAAAAGGTATTCGGCGTCGACCAATTCAGCAAGGGATACTTGTGCCCGTGCAACTGTGAAGGAGTTGGGCTTGTGAGGATCAGTAATCCTTCTCCAACACAGATCAATCTCACCATTAGCAACTCCAAGGAATAGCAAGAGCAATGCGATCATGTTTCTTTCTACGCCTAGTAAGCAAGTTCTCGCGTTCATCCAAGCTCGTACTGTAACATGATCCCTCTTTTCAATTTTTTCACACAGACACAACCACACATTATTTCAACTATAAAATCAGTATATACGTAGATTACTATATAAAAAACGTACTTCTCTTTTCAAAAAAATTTTTACGATTTTTTTTGAGGTAGGAAGGGTGGGGATCCCTCTTTTCAATTTTTGTCACAAAATGTCACACATAATTCAATACGTGCAAGCCTTGCAAATGCACTGCATTGCTGTATCACTTCAGCACAATTGTCACGTTTTTGTCACTCTCAAACAATCTTTCTACAATTTTAATTCACAACAACCAGTATACTACTTAGAAATTATACTAAGAGTACTCTTGTATATACATAAGAAATACATAGTATAACTGTAACAAGAAGTGCACTAATAAAATTAACAGAGCTAATTATAATTGATGCTACCATTGTAAAAAAGTGGTATTTACCAATTTTTAATTCCTTCATTGATTTTTTTTCAGAAAAAAAGACATAATATGTTTTCTATAGTACAAATGCACTTTCTTGAATTTTTTGGTGGTGTCAGGTACTATGGATGGTGTGCAAATGCAAAAATTGAAAAGAGGGATATCTTGAAAAAAATTGAAAAGAGGGATCACGTTACAGTACTCTTGCGTAGGTGTCGAAGACGACTCACGGCTGGGGGGCGCCGACTGCCGTGTGCCTGAGGCGTCTAACAAATGAGGCTTTTATCCAATTGCTTGTTTTTATCTTGTTATAGATTCCATGAAA